TATAACCTACTTGCTTTATTCTCATATATGATTAACCCTTTTCAAATTAGAAAGTAAAAGTCATACCTCGCCTTCTGCGCCTGAAGAAGGTTTTAGCGAAAACGAGTCCCTCCGTTTCCAAATAGGAGCTCAGAGATTGATGTGCAAAATCATATTGCTTGTCCACTAACAACTCGAGAACTTCTAGTAGATGAAGTAGCCCAGTTGCGTCAAGCGATCGGCATCTGACAAAAATATTGTGGATCATAAATCTAGCAATTTGTTGAGAGAGTGACTGGGTTGTGGTGACGTGGGTTAGTGGAGATCCTGAGTCTCTGAGTGAGGGCTTGAGTCCGCCGGTTCGCGACTTTCTCATTGGTAATTACTTCTGTCGGATGAACCAATTGGCGGTAAAAAATGAGGTGAGGGTGGCGCCCGCCCAGCGCTTGTCGCGGCATGCCTATAATGTCCATCTGGATCCTCTCCGGATGGATAAAAACAGTCGGAACATCCGATCAAGATCGCCGCTGTACGAACGCGATCTCGGGCGGACACCCAGTCAGACCATTCGGTCTTGCGAGAGGAGGTGTTTACTAGCTGCGTGCGGATCGGATGGTCCAAGATGAAGACTTGTAAACGCCGACATGAAATAATAACTCGCCGGGGATCCGAAGCGGTTGACCTAAGCTGAAGCTCGAGAGCTGGGGAATGTGGCCAAATATTATGCGGTCGGCAATGGCGATATGCTGTTCTACTGTCCGCCTACACCGAGATCGGGAAATATTTTCACAGGCGATGTTTACAACGAAGAAATCTGTGTGTGCAAATTTGTCGACTGCGTGAAGAGGAAACGGGGGGGGGGTCGGAAATCTACAGGCCATGTATCTGTTCCAGATCATAGGTATGAATCACATTCCTTCGCTCCTAAGTCGCGGAACGGTAATACCGAGCTGCTGGTCTGGGTTGATTTGTTCAGCGGATACGTGATTGCAAAGGCAGAGCTTCCAGAACGGGACATACGATCGCTGAATTCGAGAACGCCCGCATGGAGGCGGAGGACAGCGTGTCCCACGAGATGGGTACGACTCCTTACTCGTCGTCCTGGGTGGACGCTGTGATTAGTGCTGTGGCTCAGAGCGCTAGTGCAATGGCCGACATCATGCCCGAGCTGAACAAGGTCCTGCAGGAGGAACTTGAGGTGGACTGTGCGGACTCCGGGCTCAATGGCAAGCAAAAGGCGCCGATGCGGGTGTTGCTGGAGACCTTCCGCGATATATTTGTTAAAACCTCGTTGACACCGGGACGCACGGATCTGATGGAGCTCTTGATTGATACGGGCACACATCCACCGATAAAGCAACGACCGTACCGGGCCTCGAAAGCAGAAGGGGATGTGATGGAGGTCGAGATCCAGAAGTACCGCGAGCTGAAGTTTATTCGTCCGTTCATGAGCCCATGGTCAAGCCCGGTTCTCATGATACGCAAGTCGAACATGGGTATTCGGGTTTGCATTGACTATCGACAATTGAACGCATTGACTATCAAGGCCTGTTACCGATACCTCGTATTGACGAGATCCTAGATGTCCTGGGGGAACGCTAAATTGTTCTTTACGATGGATATAACCTCTGAGTATTGGAACGCGCCCATGGCGGCTGATAGTATGAGGGAAACAGCTTTTACGTGCAAATACGGCCTCTATCAGTGGCAGCCCATGTCTTTTGGACTATGCAATGCCGTTCGGACGTTCTAGCGCTTGATGGCACATGTGCTCGTAGATCTAAAGTGGCAGACCTGTTTGGTCTATCTGGACGACTGTGTGGTCTTCAGTGAAGCCTTTCCTACTCGTCTTGCTCGGTTTCGGGAAGTGCTGCAGCGCGTTCGAGAAGCAGGCTTTAAACTAAAAATGAAAACGTGTAGCTAGGGTCGCGATCAGATGGCTTTTCTTGCGCATATCGTAGAGCCGTCGGGAATCTTGCCAAAATCCGAAAGCGTAAAAGCGGCTCTGAGCATACGGCGTCCGCAAGATAAACACGTGGTCCGAGCGTCCCAAGGAGTCATTAGCTACTTTTGCCGCTATATCCCGAGGTACGCTGTCATATCGGTACCCATTGAGCGACGCAAGATGAAGGTTGTGCCGTTACATTGGAACGAAGACTGCGAGGCTGCGTTTTTGCAGCTCCAGAGAAGACTGGTCGAGCCTCCTATTATAGCGTACCCTGGTTTTTGAAGCGGTTCCAGTTGCGCGTGGACTAATCGCTGATTGCGGCTGGGGCTGCCTGATGCAGAATATCGACAGTCGCGACCTAGGATTGGAGAGACTCGAATAAAACAACTCAACTAACAAGCGAGGACAGACCCTTGCCTCTGGAAGTATTTTTAAAACTTTCAGTGACCCAATCGACGGGTTGGTGGGCCAAGCAGAACCAGCCCACGGGGACCCGTGGACACCCCAACGCTAGCTTCACTGCTTGCATGACGACGCTCAAGGGAGAGGAGGTCACAAAAAATAGCAGGTGTACCAAGTCAAGGACAACGCATTCTCGGTATTATTTCTACTGCTGCGTGGTGAAAGGTTAGTATGTAAGCTGTAGGGCGTCGGGAGCCGCAAACTTATTGATATTTCAAGCCTAGGAATTAATACTGAGGGAGTTGTCTGTAGAATATTGTTTTGATGCCGTCATTTTGCCGGAATAAAAAAACAAATCCAGTTTTCCTACCAATAATATAATTCATTACCACAATTTCAATGTTTTGAAACATTTTTTTGTGTGATCTATTGTTAAATTTATGGAACTAATGTTACTCTTGCTACCAACTAAATCCACGTTTAAAATAGTATGCATCTGAGAAACAAGAACTGTACTTTTCATGATGCTCACCACGCCAGCACTGAATACGGCCAAGTGATGGACTCCACCGCATATTTCTGCGGGAAAATCAAAGGATCGCATCCGTACGTACATGATGCTCTCCTGGTTGGCTACCAACAACGGCTGGAATAGTAAGTGCATTTTGCCCTGACCCTACCAGGCTCGTAATATTTATAGTATCATTACATTTTTGGCACCTTTTTTCAAAAACCAATTAAACGCATTTTGTTTGTACCTTGCAACTTTTTTTAATCTTTTTCTTACACTCCTAACGAATTCTTCTGTATTTTGTGCTTGGGGTACAATCCAGTACTTTTGCACTGGATTATGGTAATTTCTATCAGGTAAATTTTTGTAGCTGTGCCGCATGTTGCAGCACAGCGTTCTTTGGCACCATACGTGTTACAAGGACGATGCAGTCTAGTATCGGAAGTAAGATAGTAGTATTATTGATAGTACTAAATCGATTCTGATCAAATTAGAGGTGCTAATAATATTAGGGCATCTAATTTGATCAGAATCGATTTGGATTTTTCGGTTTTTGATTTAATAAAATCAAAAATCCAACTTCGATTTTTCGGTTTTTTTTTTATTCTTCTTTGGAGGACAAGATATATATATTATTAAATCATGTCCTCCAAAGAAGAATAAAATCAAAACCCGAAAAATCAAAGCTGTGAACGTATTAGTATATTACATGTTATAATACCACTGGTACTATAATTCAAAGTTACCGGTATTGGATACTTTGCTAGAAAAGGCGAACTGAACCAATACGTCTCTACACGGACAGGTCTTTGCCCATCCCGCCCAGCACTCCATGCATGAATCATGGCATCACACAGGCTTGACAACACGAGGAGCTGGCGGCCTACTGTTATTAATACGGTAGAACCGACGGTACTGTACCCCCTACGTCTCTACACGGACCAGGTCTTTGCAAATCCCACTGGGACCGAGCAAATGCCGACCAGTGGTTGTCCGTGGTGGTCGGCGACCACCACGGAGGAGACGATCGAAGTGACCGACGTCAAGCCTAAGGAGACGACGGAAGTGAGAACGACTGAGATTGTCGAGGAGACCGTGGAGGAGACCGAGGTGACGGAGGGCAAGAAGCCCAAGTCAAAGAAGAGTCGCAACCCGAAGCGCAAGCGGAATGCGGGCTCGACCTAGCAGGAGACGACGGAAGTGACGGAGGTGAGGACGACTGAGATTGTCGAGGAGACCGTGGAGGAGACCGAGGTGACGGAGGGTAAGAAGCCCAAGTCAAAGAAGAGTCGCAACCCGAAGCGCAATCCAAATGCGGGCTCGACCGAGGAGAAGACGGCGGGAGGAGACGGAAGTGCCGGCCAATACGGAGGAGACGACAGAGGTGACCGAAGTGACCACGGAGACGATCGAAGTGACCGACGTCAAGCCTAAGGAGACGACGGAAGTGACGGAGGTGAGGACGACTGAGATTGTCGAGGAGACCGTGGAGGAGACCGAGGTGACGGAGGGCAAGAAGCCCAAGTCAAAGGAGAGCCGCAATCCGAAGCGCAAGCGGAATGCGGGCTCGACCTAGCAGGAGACGACGGAAGTGACGGAGGTGAGGACGACTGAGATTGTCGAGGAGACCGTGGTGACGGAGGGCAAGAAGCCCAAGTCAAAGAAGAGTCGCAACCCGAAGCGCAATCCAAATGCGGGCTCGACCGAGGAGAAGACGACGGGAGGAGACGGAAGTGCCGGCCACCACGGAGGAGACGACAGACGTGACCGAAGTGACCACGGAGACGATCGAAGTGACCGACGTCAAGCCTGAGGAGACGACGGAAGTGAGGACGACTGAGATTGTCGAGGAGACCGTGGAGGAGACCGGCAGGCTCACAGAGCTTTTATTTAGTTGGTTAAATCCTTAAATACTACCTCCGCTCAGAAAATAAAGACGTAGTTGGAACCGCCACCAAAAATATAGGACAATGCACACGAATGGTGGATCATGTCAGTGCTTTTGTTCGAATCATTAGCATAGGTGAAGTGATTCGAGCACTAAGTTTAAGCGATCATGTTGTAGTTGCAGCAACAACGACGCCTCTCTTTCCCTTGCAGCGTGCCATGGCACTATATTTCGGCTGGAATCCGAGCAGAGACCACACTCTACGAGGATGAGGTTGGGACGGTGGAGTCCACGTGCGCCTTAGCCATTAGCTTTGCAGTGTCATTCTCCAGCTTGAGCCCAGAGCTCCAGCACCACACCCCGTCCAGAGCAGCGGCACACAAGATCGACCACCAACGCAGCTCCAAGAAATGCACAAGTACGTTCATTACTTTTTTTTAATGTTATGAATAGAATGTATCTAGCATGTTGAGTCTGCGTTCATCGAACATGTTTGATGGTGCAGTGCTATGAGCTCGACATGAAGAAGTGCGTGGTTGGGTCGCGCTCGTAGTCAAAGTAATGGCACATTGGGAGTCGCCATCATCTCCGTCTGCTTCGTACTTTCCATTGGCCATTCACGCCACAGCCTGGATCCTGCAGCTCATTGGCCACGGCGTATTCGAGCGTCGCAAACCGGCACTCTTCGACAGCCTGGACCAGGCTCTGATCACCGCTCCGATGTTCGTGTTGCTCGAGATTTTGTTCCCACTCGTTACCGTCCGGAACTCTACTCGCGCGTGATGAAGCAGGTTCGGATCAATGTCAAGACCTTCCAGGCTACAAAGACGCTGTAGTTAAGGCAACAAGACAGTGACTTTTGTGGCCTCATCAAAAGAAAAATGTATTGTTTTTAAAATATCTATGCGAATTTTGTCGTTAAGAGACTACGACGATCTCTGCCATCTCTGTGAGATTCTTGGCAATACCCTCCGCCCCACAGACGAGACATTTGAGTAGTAAGAGCTCCTCCATCGACACCTTCTCGTAGCGACGTTCTTCCAGCAGCCATTCCACGTACGCAGTCTTCATCTGCGCCGCGATGTCGCTACTGGAGAATTCCTCCACATTCAGAACGTCGTGCTCGCGACACATGGCAGGAGCCGATGACGCAGCCGACGAGACTCTCTTGCTCTTGAAGCTTGGGAGGAGTTGCGATAACTCTCACGTGACGGCATCGCGGCTCGAGAATTGTTGACCTTTGCATCCGAAGGTGAAAGTTTGGACTGAATCTTGTCGCCAGAGTCCACGTTGACGAGATTCGGCTCATCAATCTCGCTCGCATCTCCCGCGTCGTCCTCGTTCTCATTAATAGCTGCCAGGACATGCTTCCGCCTGGCTACCAGAGCCGAGGCCTTGGGTTTACGTCGCGTGTACACCTCCACCTCGAGCTTGAGGCCGTTCTCCAGCGCCTCGACGAGCTCTTCGAACGACACCAAGCCGCTGTTATCCTTGTCCACCACACGCATGAATTCCTCGACGTATTTGTGGATCTCGCCTTGCTTGACCGCGCCAGACTGGGCGAAGATGGTCTCCAGCATGTCTGCCACTTCGGCCGCGTCGATCTCGCCGCTACAGTCCTTGTCTGCCAAGCGGAAGAACTCTTTCATCTGCATGAAGATGGAGGTCTGGTCCGGCTCCGAGTACAGCAACGCATCGCTAAAGAGCATCTCCAACGTCTTGAACAAATCGGTCACTACAGTCTGGAATTGGCTCGTGGCGAGCTGCCACTTTGCACTTGTGCTCTTGCTGTCAAGTGAAGCCTCTGTGTCTCGAATGTCGACACTATTAAGCTGAACTCGGTTGTGTTCGACGCGGAAATTGAACCACCGCACCAGCTTAAATAGAAGCGTGTTGTTGTTCAGTAATCGACGTGAACACTCGAGAACTTTTTCACATTTCATAGTCGAGAGCGCAGGTCTCCACATGAGCGGTTCGGTTTGAGCCTCCGCCAGTAAGGACGCTTGTTGTGCATGTTTAGCATGGATCTTGACCTGCTCCATCTAAAATATCATCGTTCTCACTCTCCATCTTGTTTGTCTCCACGTAATTTTAAATGAGCGACAGCGTGTAAAACTATCTATTTACTTTGGCAGTGATCATGCTATTTTGGTGATCGTATATTTTAAGGTGGTGGTGGTACCGTTTTCTGTGTGTGTGGTCCCGTCCACAGTTTGGGTGGATACATGTACACTTTTTATTATAGCAGTACAGTACACATAATTTAAAGTGGCAATAACCCGGACTCCGGGGGAGATGCAGAGGTAGTTGGTGCTGCTAGCCAAGGACTATAAACCTCCGGCGGTATCTGCGACAGCGTTCAGTGTGTTTGAGAAGAAACTGGCGCTGCTAACGGTGGATATGGATGAGAACCTGCACGTGGTCCAGTTGGCCCCGCAAAATTATCGAGTCTCGCGGTGACCAGCGTCTGCTGCGAGTGAGCGACTTCCACTTGGATGTCCAAGTCTCGAGTTTGTTCCGGAAGCGGGTGGATGCGTCTGGATCGGTGGTGTCTGCTACGAAGTGACGCAATACAGCAGCTTTGTCCTACTACATGAACGTCATATGTACGTCGGAGGAAGGCGTCAGCGCTCTGATTCCTGTCGGCAAGGGCGTGTTCCGTCGTCTCTTCACGTTGCAGAACGAAATGGTGAACACGCTGCCTCAGAATTGCGCGCTGGACCCTCGGGAATTTCGCATGCTTAAGACCAACGCAAAGCGAAGATGTGGCAGACCGGACAAGAAGAAGTGGAAGAAGAGCTTCCTGGACGCCTTCGTGCCGTGCCGCTTTTTGCATCTTGCTATGTGGCGCAGAAGGAGCTTGCACGCTGCATCGGTACCACGCCCGAGGTGGTCATCACAGCCTGCTCACGCCACGTCGACATTCCTGTAGTTGATGCGTTGTTAGTGACGAATCTCGTGGCGTGCAAACTGAACGTTCCAGCCCAAGGCTTCCGTGTTGTGTGTTGCTCGCGTGGTCGTTAGTTGTCTTGGCTCATGGAGTCGGAAGGACATTCGGCTACTACATGTACATGTAGAAGAGTGTATTTTAACTTGGTGAAGAAGACTTTGGCGAAGAAGAGCAGCAACTTGAGATGTATATGTGTTCGCAAAGGCTCGCCGATTTTCAATTGATGCGTGTGTATGCTCCGACAGGTGTCCGAGCGAATTGCAGTCTCCACTATCTAGCGTCGTGGATCGGCCAGGTCGAGCAATCGCATTGGATTTCTTCAATATTTACGCCTCTCTATTGCTTAAGTGTCGAGATCGAGATTAGATTATTCAGCCTGCGTTACATACAGAGAACCAAAGTTTTGAACAGATTTCATGGTAAAGCAGCTCATACCAATAACAAATAATACGGTACAAGTCAAAACGAAATGATCCAAACCTATTTTTTTTAGTTAGTGTATGTATTTGATTGCGACTTTCGATTCATGGACTCGTTGAAGTTCGCACTACCGTTTGAATTTTTTTAAACCCAACTTTTTACTAAGTTTAATTTTTCTGCTATAGAAGTCGAAACCTGACAGCCACAAACTCCCGCAGTTCTATCACTACCCGAGCGCGGCCGCTACGCGGCGGTATTAGTAGTTTACGTTTAGTTCTACTTGTTTTGGCTTTCTCGCCGAAGCGTAGCGGAGGCGAAATAATTATAAAAAAACGCTGATACATATGCGCCTAAATCAATTTCAATAACCTGGGTCAAAATCATGATTATAAATACCTGATTAACATAATACTGTAATTCTAATGATCTTGAATCAAGATTCTGATGCAATCTCTTTGTTATTGCATCAGAATCTTGATTCCGCTACGCGGCGGTATTAGTAGTTTAGGTTTAGTTCTACTTGTCTTGGCTTTCTCGCCGAAGCGTAGCGGAGGCAAAATAGTTATAAAAAAACGCTGATACATATGCGCCTAAATCAATTTCAATAACCTGGGTCAGCATCATGATTATAAATACCTGATTAAAATATTACTGTAATTCTAATGATCTTGAATCAAGATTCTGATGCAATCTCTTTGTTATTGTCGGCTATCACTGAATCTTCATCTTCCACCCAAAATCACATGCACTTCAAATAACATATATACAAACGCTACGCAATATGTTTAGTTTAGCGTCGTGCTCGATATCACGGGCCATTTCTGAGCCGCTACGAAACTTAGCTCACATCAACACACGAGATAGTAATGGCCTGTCCAGCTTGCACTACTTATGTAACGGGGTACGTAGCCCTAAGTGTACCCTGGTGACACTTCACACTTCAGGAGTATGACACGTCATACTCCGGGATATTTGGTACAAGGTACCAAGGTCGTTCAAAGCCAACCATTAATTAAATGACATTGCATTTCTATAGGTAACTTATAGTTTGTATTAAACCCAAACATAACCTACCTATAAATATACTCAGTTTACAATCTACCTTATTTAGGTCACTTCGCTCTCTTTAATTAAAGAGGGGACCTGTGAACTGCCGTTCACTGAGAGTTTGTATACTCTCGGAAGATAACTTCCTCTAGCGCAAGGTGCTGTGTGACCCCGTCACACTTGGCAGCACTAGTAGTCAATCCACGCCACCGCGGGTAGACTACCTGAATCTCTCCGAAGTTCGTTGCCATGGATAGGAATGACTTCTCCCATATGAACGACTCTCAGTTCGAGTCGGTTCGGAAGATGGCAGGCATCTTCGGGATGGAGGCCCTGCAGAGCCTGGTGGTGTCAACAACGGCTGAGCAGCTCGAGCGCGTCAATGCGCTCGACGCGTACGAGCAGGGCCTCATCGCGCATGTGCGGGAGAGCCTGCAGGCTCCGGCGGCGGAAGTAAATCCGCCTCACCCGAAGCCAATACGGCTGAAGGTTAAGCCGTATGAAGGGAAGGAAGGCGAGAACCTTCACTTCTGGGTCCGAGAAGTAGAGCTCGCGATGGACGCGGCTCTGATCTCGACCGAGCAACTGCGTGTTGCTTTTGCACTCTCCAACCTTAGCGGCCGGGCTAAGAGTTGGGTGTACACACGGGAAGCAACATCCCCTGGATGTTTCTCATCCTGGGCTCAGCTGTGCGAACAGCTCCGAGCCGCGTTCCTCCCGGCGAACTACGAGTACCGCCAGCGTTCGCGCTTCCTCGCGTGTAAACAAGGAAGGCGTGAACTGCACGAGTATGTGCAAGAGATACGGGAGCTCACGGCGTCCCTAGTGGGAAACCCACTCAACGAACACATCAAGATGAATGTGTTCATGAACGGCCTTCGAGTGGGCCCCGCACGCACTCAGCTGTTCCGAATACAGTCAAGCACCCTTGAAGAGGCGATTCAAGTGGCTCTTCAAGAAGAGTACAGCCATCGCCAGGCGCGTAAGCCGGCCTCAGCGTGGCCTGGGAGTTTCTTTTCGGCTCCCGGTCGAACAAGCCCCAACGGACCAGTTCCCATGGAACTCGGGTCCACCGAACAGCGTGACATCCGCTGCTTCGGCTGTGGGAAGATGGGCCACTTCGAGCGCGACTGTCCCGCGGAAAGACTCCGCAGACGGTCCTTCCCCAAGCCCGTCCTCAAGGGTCGCTGGCAGAAGCCAGGATCCCGGGGACAGGGGAACGCAGGGAACCAGTAGGGGCGGGGCGCCCTACTGGGGAAGAACTAAGTCTTCGTGATGGGTGCGCGGGTGGCGCGTACCACGGGGACTTGACCCTTGAGAGTCATCGTACTCTCGAATCGGCGAAGAGCAGTGGCGGGTTGCTCGTAGTACACGGATGTGTACGGAAATACGATCACCCCTTTAGAATCCTGATCGATTCTGGAGCATCGAAGGATTTCGCACGCCGCCAGACGGTTGCTCGTAACAGCAACAAGTTGTCCGATGCTTTGAGAGAAAGCAAGGGCAACGGGACGGTGTCAGTGCGACTGGCCGACGGGAAGGTCGTCACTGTCCCCAACGTCCAAGTGGATCTGGCCGTCAAGTTTGAAGACTTTGACAGCCTCGAACAGTTCACTGTTCTCGATATGGATGAATATCATCAATTCTCCGACCCAACTTAATATTAGTATTGGTATTAATCACCAATCATCCATTCTTATTTATTAGACAACCAATCGTTCGGTCTTGACAAAATGATTTGGCCAATCCAAATGGTAAGGGCTAGGTTGGGCCTCATCGGAGTTGCCGACATATCGGGTCGGAGGCGACACGCAAAATATGGATATGTTAATACAATTTTCAAGATGTTGACATATCACATGCATAAAGTAATTTCTCCGACTTCTCCGACTGGTGTAATCATTTCAGTACACTAGACTCAATTTCGCAGTCCACAATTTGTTTACTGTTATACAAAATCTTGAGCACTAAAGACGTCGACAACTGGCAGGCGATGCAGCTCTGGCGAACTCGCTTCGTCATTACAATACATGCAACAGCCTGTGGGAGGAGACGTATTAAGAGTTATTACTGCTGTAGTATTATAAACTAGTAGTAGTATACTAAATGAACAGAGCAGTAGATAGCATTCATCAATTTCACGCGTTATTTATATATTTACGTAAGCACTTAAACTCAATAGCAACACGGCGCCAACATTCTCCTGTCCCTCAGCATGCGTACCTTTCTACTACTGCTCATGGCTTCGTCCACCTTGGCACCGGTTCCGAACGCGTATCCCCGTCTTACGCGGAACTTCCAGCTGGAGCAGCGCCACGCTGATCCACAATGCAGCCTTCCTGACCTCGGCAGTCGCATCCTCCACCTCCACGAGCTCCATCTTGGCCTCTTCCGCCGAAACCATCTACTCTTTAATCGCGTCGGTCTCTGTCGCAGCCACGATCAAGATCTGTACGGGCAGCTCAGCAATACTTACGAGGTGCAGACGCGCGGTAAAAGCAGCGACATCGCCTGCATAAAACCCGTTCACTTATACCATCGTGTGCAGCCCCACGGCCAGGTATAGGTCGCGACACCGCCACGAGATATCCGGCGGACGCAACACATCCAACCGCTCCACCGTGTTCCGGACGCCACCACGGATACACCCGAGCAACCCCACTGTGCTGGAGATCCGTAATCCGGACCATTTGACGCCAGCAGCGCTATATCTCACTCGCCACGCTACTGCCAGCACACCTGCACGTTGGCCCTCACGCATGTCGAACATCGGCCCGCTCAATGGCGCGTCCGTGAACTTCCGCGTCCACGGACCAGAACATCGACCACACGGCAGCGCTGTCAAACAACGCGCCGTTCACGTACAGATCGACCATCGCCAGCAGTACCTTTCTCACCTTCCCGGCTCTCCAAACCATCCACCCGCTGCCGCCACCCCGTTACCGTTGCTGCTGTGTCCGCCACTCGCACGCCGCCCTTTCGCGGACGTCGCCACCCTTGCTCACCACCTCATTCACTCTGCTCCCTCACGCTCTTCGACTCTAGCTCGCCGCCGTCGCCACCATTGCTGCCACTCCACTCGCTCGTCGTCCGAACGATCTCTCCCTCTTTCTCCCTCTTTTTTTAACATAAAGTAAAAGTGCAATTTAAAAAAATAAATGCATAAATTTTAACAAGTACATAAATTATTTTTGTTTAAACCACGTTTTATGTCACGGTCGGAGGTTGTCGGAGGTCGGAGATTTTATGTTATGGATCCATATGATATGATCCTGGGCATGCCCTGGCTTGAGAAGCACGAGCCCTGGATCGACTGGCGAGGCAAGGCAATCGGTGCCAGCCGCCCTGCGCAGTTCGACAGAGCATTGGTGAGTCATGTTCCCACCTCTGTCAGGACCCGGGGCGCCCGCAAGGGCTGCCGAGTACCAAAGCATCCGGCAGATGCTTGGGAGTCGTCGACGTATATGACGACTCCGAGGATGTTTTGATGGTGGCCGCGCCCAGAAGAAGCGCCGGCCAAGTGGGTAACTTAGGTCCACGGGCGGGTAACTTAGTTCCGCAGACAGCTGCAGCTGTCATGAACACTGAGAACAGCGTGTTCAGAGTGGGTAACAGAGTTCCACACACGGTCGCCCAGACCTTAACTGAAAAGGAAGGCGTTGAACACACTTCCTGTGTGGGTAATGCAGTGCCACACGCGGTCGCCCAGACCTTAACTGAAGAGGAAGGCGTTGAACACGCTTCCTGTGTGGGTACAACAGTACCACACGAGGCCGCGAGTGCCTCGGATGTCGTAGCGACGACATCCCTAGACGTGGGCAGTAAAGCTCCCCGTCACAGACGCCGCCGCCGCCTCAAGTCGGATCCGAACTTCGTTCCGATCGACGTCGCTTCAAGCGACTCGGAGTCCAGGGCCCGGGCTCCTCCGACAAGGCCGGTGGAAGAGTGTTATCACATCTTCGATGGCGAGACTGGTTTACCCGTCAAGGCATCTGGTGTCCACTTGGAACCGTTGCCAGAGGTTGCAGAGATACTGCACCTCGAGGAAATGACGGCTGAGTCTTTCCTGACCAACCTCAAGGCTGGAGAGATTGCTGAGATGGTACTCATGAGACCTGAGACCACTCAGGAGGAGCTGAACGCCTCATCTGTCTTGGACGAGAACGTCCTGGAAGACGTGAACAAGCAGCGTCAGGCGCGCTTGGGTTCTGAG